AAGTGAACATTTCCCTTAAAAAGAGGGACAAAAACAAGTATTAAACCTTTATGTTTTTACTTATGTATCTTTCATTTTCAAGTGTTATCCCTAGCAAGTTGTGTGTTTTCAGTGTTCCAACCAATTTCTTCTCTCGTTAATTAATAATTATAATAACAATAATAATAAATAAATAAAATTTATTTATTTAAACAAAAGAATTTTAGTATACTTGTTAGATATATTATCTTTATTTTATATTTATCTTTTATTTTTAGGTAGTTTGTTATTATTTCTTATTTATATTTCAGGCTTATCCCATATTTCTTCTTTTATAAATAAAGAACCTTACGTGTATATTCAACACAAGGGGAATTAATCTCATATAGTTTTTCACTATATTTAATGTGGTATCTAGAGCCTAAGGTTCTTTTAAGGAAAAAATTGTTTGTTGCATTTGCCATTACACTTGTCGTTGCTGGCAGCAGCACCATCTACCATCTTTAGAGCTTTGAGATCGCTCTTTTTTCCCTCTTTCAGATTTGTCATGCGTGGTCGCACGTCCTGTCTCCCTTCAATCAATTTTTCAAAGCATCAAGGTTATTCTTTTTCCTTTTTCAGGTGCCTTGATTGGAGAATTTAAGATTTTTAAGGTTTCTCTCTCTTGTTTATTCATGTCTTCTTCCGCTGTTGTCTCTTATGACCACTCTGTTGTCACCATTGTGTTTGACTCGTCCATATATGTTGTTTTTTTAGTGGCAAAGATGGCATTTGTTCGTTTATTTATAGCCATAGTGGCTCTTCAACAATGACCTATTTATCCATTAGATGTTATCAATGCATTCCTCAACGACGATTTGCATGAAGAGATTTACATAGAATAACCTCCTAGATTTGTTGCTTATGGGAGTCTTCTGGGTTGGTATTTTATCTTCCATGTCGTTTTTACGAATCATTAACAATTTGGTGTTACTTGAGTGTAGAAGTAGATATTTTCACTAAATTTTTATGAATTATATTAATAAGAAGCTTGATACATACGATTTGTATGTATCAAAGAGGGAGTGTTAGATATATTATTTTTATCTTATCCTAATATTTTATCTTTAAGTAATTTATTATTATTTCTTATTTGTATTTTAGACTTAATCTATATTTCTTATATTATAAATAAAGAACTTTATGTGTATATTCATTAATCACATACCTAATTTTTCACTATATTCAACATTACTAAATAATATATTGTATTAATTATTTATTATTTTTTAATTATATTATTTCAAATAACTTTTACCGGAAAATATATTACTTATAAATCTCTCACAAACTTCTCTTATAAAAACATATTTTATTTTTAAATCCATCCACTTACTGTTTCCAAAATCATTTCCCTCAAATACACATACTTTATAAAAATACACAGTTACCTGATATATAAAATTGGTGTGTTTTCCATTTTAAAAATCAAACTTATTTCATAAATAATAATAACAATAATAATAATAATGTTTAAATGCAATTATTATTATTTTTAAAATTAATTTAACACTGTTAAATTGAAAATCTTTTTAAACTGTCAGTTTAAACTCGTAACCACAATGGTCCAAACACACTACCCTTCTGCTCGCCATCAGGAAGGGTCGGGCGTGATAGGCCAGACGCCCATATGTCCACGATTACGCAACCTTACCGCTTGCCACCCGTAGAAACAGCAACTCGCATGAAGCCGACCGGTCATACCGCCAACCAACCAGGTTGCCTAAATGGGCCGACCGATCGTAAGGCCAAACTTCGCGAGACCGGCCGACCACATCGCTAATTAGCTAGGTTTAAGGTAAGTAGTGGTTAAAAGTTATTGGACTGAATTTGGACCGTGATTAACTTTTCACTAATCCCAAACCTATAGCGAAAACTATAAATACAGATCCAGGGTGAGTGGTAGATAGATTGCATTTACTGCATATTTATTACTGTTCTATTGAAAAAGCCATTGTTCTCAAACTGACTTTTGACATCGAAGAATCTTTCACAGGTCTCTCATCCGCGCATAGAAAAGAAAATCGAGAAGGTAAGACGAAAAGTCGGACATACGAAATACGAGCAGAAGAGGACGTGGAAGCATTGGACAACTCAGCCCCTCACAACCGAAACATAAACAATACTACTTTTATAATAATCCACCTTCATCTTCAGAAAGAAAATCACATCCGTTAAATTTTCTTAACTTAGTCATTTGGTTTCTTCTTTTTGTCTGCTATTACATGGCCTTTATTCGCACATAGTTGAATTTAAACAACCACTGTTCGTGCAAATGCCTGCAACATAAAATATGAACATGTGCGCCCCACTACAAAGATTGAGACACAAGTCCAACAAATGCATAAACATTTAAGTAGCTCTCAATATCTCATACCATTACTTTCCAATTACAAAAGGACATACAACAGAAAAGAAAAAAAAAAAGAAAATTGCTCGCCATAATTTCATAATTTATTTAAACTAGCTCTGCTCAAAGTTGATGGCAACTTCTTGAGTGAAATTGTGGAAATGGTCCAAGCACAAATCAGAGATATGGCAATCCATGATAAAACTACCAGGAACGAGCAAAAACAGAAAATTAACATCTAATCCTATTAAAATAGCAAGGGTTCAAATCTCTCTCAAAGTCTCTAAACTCAGAAGCAGACAAACTTTCATGCCCTAATAGTTACACTGCATAAGCACAAGCCAGATGGTCTTATATCAGAAGTCTGCCATTCAGATCCTGGTGCTGCACTTGGATCATACAACAAAGTCCTATATGAAGGCTCCTCCTCCAGTGAGAATAGCAATAACTTATCGTCCAATATCCCAAACCGAAAACCAATGCTTGAACTCCCTGTCAAAGGGACTGGTACCATTTTCCATGAATTGTCCTCTGGATTGAATATTGCCAACTTACGCTGGTTTTTCCACTCCGTACAGAACAACTTCTTTCCCAGCACTGCATGAGCAGTGACCATCACACACCCATTTTTCATCTCACACCAGCCATGCTTCTCTGGGCTGTACACATCAACAAACTTGGAATTTCCAATTGTAAAGCTTGACCTTCCACCCATGACATAGAGCTTCCCTTCAAATCCACAGGCAAAGCAACCCCATCTTGGGCGACGGAGGCTTTCTATTGGCGTCCACTTGTTGGTATCCGGATCATACACCTCTGCACTGGAGAGGCTATCACCGTTTGCGCCGTAGCCTCCAACAGCATAAACTAAGCCATTCACTTCAGCACAAGCAAAGTCATACCGAGCCACATTCATATTTGACAATCTGCTCCAGCTGCAATTGCAATTACATAGTTTAACAATAGCACTGTGCTCATAGAACATGTAGCCAAATAAAGATGCATCACATGGACAAAATGATGCATCTTTATCAATTATAAAAGTTAGAGGCTGATATATTGTCAAGCAAATCTCATGTTTCAACGTTGCAATGATTTTTTTAATCTTGAAATCCATTTTAAGTCCTAACATAACTGGGAAACTAAAATCATACAATACAACAAGTCATTTTCTGTCAAGCCATTCCAAACTTTCCTAGTTTATATTTCCTTCCTACTTTATAGTGTTTTCAGTGAAACAGTTGTCACAGATAAAACATACTTGTTACAATAGCTAAAATCTTGTATCAGAAAGACTTCTAAGCATACACAAACAGTCCCTTCAGTTCTAATATCTAAAATCAACACAACACCAGAAATGGATATATTATAATGAACCATAAAGAACTGGCAGTAGGATTATTTTCACCCCGTATAAAGGATTACAGGGTCGAAAAAACAATATAACAGGTTTAAATCTCTCACCAAATCACAAATACCCAAAGGTTTCCCGTGCGAGAGTCTCATAAGTACACCAGACAACTAAGTTAAGTGCCATTTATTAACTCAATTCTGAAGGAGGAATTATAAAATGAAATGTAATAAGTACCAATGTAAAGGTAAGTTTACAGCAGAAAAGCATACCTGTTGAGGCAAGAATCATATTGATAAACCTCTTCTGAGACAGATGCAGTTCCGTCAACTGATGAACAACCAGCCATAACAAGGAGCTTTCCATTGAGAACCACCACTCCAAAGCCAGCCTTTGCTGGACCAGGCATTGATGGAAGAGATCGGCGATTATGTCCCAGACAATCCATGACCTCCCAATGGCTCCCTTTTCCTTTGCTACCAGCTGTTAAGATATAGAGCCATTCCTCGTCCATCCCAGCCAATTTTCGGACAGTTATAAATTCTTTGCTTTGAATAAAGCCTCTCCATCTCTTATTTACACCGCCCATGGATGGGAAGTTAGAACGAGGCACAAGTGCAAGGCAGTGCTTTGAAACATCATCAGGCAGCCCAGGTAGAATGGGGCTACTACAATCTTCATCATCATCTACAGCCTCAGACCTCACACAACGATTGCTTTTTGTAGGGGTTGGTTTATCATGGTTGGCCAAATTGGGAAAACACATATTTGGGTCTGTATATCTCTTCTTTTCAGCCACAAAACCAGGCATTTTTCAAATTAGCAAACACAGATATGACGTACCACAAAGACGTAGAGAAATTTTGTTGGCGACCAATCAACCAAACAGTGTGAAAATGTCTTAATGAATACAACTAACTAAAGGAATTCATAATACCCTTCACCAATTGGGATTCTACAAGACCATGGCATAAAAGATGTTGCACAACGAACCACGTGAGCAGAATATGAAGACGACTTTCTGTGCTTTATCCAATCTGACTGTAGTTCCATAACAGAAGTTATGCTCCTACAGTAATCCTTCTTACTTGTGTTCTGCCAATTATATCTTAAGCTTCCAAATCCGTATTTACCCTCACACATTTCCCAAGTATCTACAAATTAAGGCAAGGAGTTGTAATATTTCAAAGCTAAAAATTGAAATTAACCAATAATACTCATTAAAAAAAAAACTGTAAAGCCATACGAGAATAGGCCATAGAACTCGCAAGCCTTAGCCACCAGTGACTTCCATTCCCTTTAAGTCCATATCAGCTGAAAGAATGAAACTGAGTAGAGGGAAAAGTAGCAGAAGATTAAGAAAACTTCAAGTATTTAATTGAGAAAAGGAAACTCAAATTGAAAAATATTCAATTTGCAGGGTAAACAAAAGACAAATAAGTGTTCCTTTTACAGATATTACTCGAACAAGAAAGCATAAAAAATGTTTGCAAACACCGCAATCTAGAAGTATAGACAGGAATTAACCTTTAACAAAAGTACACCTTTCCGTGTACCTAGAAAGTCCATAAGTTTGATCTCGGAACAAAAGTAAGTTTTTAACAAGAAAAATAATCTTTTGACCTTATTGAATTAAACGTTGGGCCAGATGAAATCATAATCAAATAAAACAACTCAATTGAAAACTACGAAGAGTCAACTGTACTCTTGCACGAAAACCCGGAGCAACATTAGCCAATGGATGCGTTGATAAAAAGAAATGAAGCTAACAAGAGTTCCAAAAACAGCATAAAAAACGAAAAACACATCCCTTCACTGCAAGGGATTCATTTTGATTTTATTGGTACGAAACCACAGGTATCCTCCATGGATCACGAGGAGACAATTTTGTTTGAGTCAAACAGGATTAGGACCACTATAGACAATAAAACACTTAAATACAATTGCACATTCAGAGGTTGAATCCAAAGATTATGAATTTGAGATTGGTAGTAAACATAAAGAGTCCCTAATAAATTTGCAAGTATCCATAAAACTCAGCTGTTGAGAACAAATATATCAATGAGAAACAAGAAGATAAATGGCATCCAAACCAAATCTGAGGTTTCAGAGACACGAATACACGTTTTCAGCATTGTCCTTGGGTTCTGAAGAGAGTACACACAATTCTAAAACCGGAATCCTAAGTAGCTACAGTAACGCAAGAGACAAATAATTAGAGTGCGTATGGAAATCGATTAGAAACGACACTTGGTAGATCTGTAGCAAGAAAAAAACAGAAATTGTAATAATAACAAAAGCAAACTGAAAAACGAAAAAGAAAGAAGAGGAACTTACAAGAATTATAATGAGCTTGAAAGGGAAAAGGGAGTGAAGGGCAGTTTGTGTTGGAAAGGAGAGGAAGAAGATAGGAGTGGCGACAGAATATGAAGCAAAGAGGACTTTATAGGATTTTTTTACTTACCAAAACGGTCTGACACAAGATATTTGGATAATGCTGACACATTTCACCACGTCAGGAAGAACAAGTTTATCTTGACAAAGTAAACACTGAACAAAACTTACACAAGATAGTATCTGCATACTTTATGTTCTTTCTTAATTTAAATTTAGAGTTTTATATTTAAAATGTGCATTATATTTAAAAAATATAAAATTTTTAAATCAACTATATGTATAATCCTGTATATAAGTTTTTTTTTACGTCTACTCGTCTACCTTCCTAAAATTAGGAATTGTATAATATATAATATTATATATTATAATATATAATATATAATAATATATTAATAATATTATTATATATTATATATTATATATTATAATATTATATATATAATAATATTATAATATATAATATAAAATATGTGTATTTATTCTAATAAAATATATGATAAATATTAATAATTTGATTATATGATATAGTAACATGATAAGTATACTTTTATATCATATATAATAAAAGAAATATATATGATTAATCTTGTTAAATGGTATATTACTACTATTTTATCATACATATAGTAAGTTTTTATTATTTATTAATATTCTTTAATATTCTCTATTTTATAATAGATTTTATAGATTATAAACTCTAAAAATAAACATGATATTTTTTTCATCAATCATAATACTTTTTTATTAATTTGAGTATTGAAGAAACTTTTATGAGTAAATCTTTTTCGTCAAAGTTATTAAATTATTAGAGTCATTATTTCGACCCTGCCACATGTCTTGTACACTATTCGCCAAATCCTACTAAGAACGTTTGGCACTCACTGTGGGTTTGTGAAACTCGTCCCATGTCCCTATAAGATTTCTATATCTATTATTGTTTTCGTATACAAAATCATATATTACATACAACATTACACAGTACATATTTTATTCATTTATAAATCCCTACCAATAAGGTATAAGTATAAATCCTTACTAACTAAGGTAGAATACCTAAGACCTTTTATTAAGGGATCACATATCTATTGTTAGTTTGAGGATCCATATCATTCATGAAGACAAATCCAGGTATGCTTCCGTATTAAATTTTACCATGAATATGTGTATGGGTTTGTTAAGGATAAAATATAAGTTTTGGATTATTTGATAGCATTATCTTCAAATCAGGTCGTAAGCATGCTTCATGGTCAATATGTAATTAGAAGAATCTTTCCAATACCCTCTATCACTTATGTGCTAAGACTAATTCTCTAAAATGATTAAATTTACTTCTTTTGTATGCTTGACCATGAAGCAATAATAGAATTGTATCCATTACTCTTCTTTGTGCCCCGAGATTTGAGGAATGTTATTTTGACACTTCATATCTTTTCTACATCAATATTTTATTATGATAAAATTCATTTATTGAATATTTATAGAGAATTTATGTCAAGTCGATCTCAATGGTAATCACGCTAAAGAAAAACAAACACCGCTAGCCACAACTTAGCTCTCGTGGAGTGTCTCAAATTTTATACTTATACTATGGATGACATGTTATCATGGTCATTTAGACACTTGCACCCTTTTGAAGCTAATGGAAGTATATCAGGGATTGATTTCATGTATGAAAATCCATGTGGGGCTCAATACAAAATCAAGTTGACTTGTAGGGCACTTTGAATTCAAGATACATTTCTACATGCAGCAAGGGCCCTCGGTTTCTTTTGTTTGTCAAAGTCCACCATCAACTTCAAGTCCTATATGCTCCACCAAGCCAACAACATCAATCGTCATTCAAAATTTCAAGAACCATTGTAATAGCCAAGTTGAGCCTCAATGCCAAGGGAAGATAACAAATAATTTATTTTCAGTAGTGTAACAAGGAGGCAACAACTTGGCTCTTTGGAGCCTAATACACCAACTCAAAGACAAAACTTTGATGAAGCTCACAATGATAATAACTTCCAAAATAGTCTCGATTATTATGACCACAAAATTCTATCGATTTATAACAAAAAAAAAAGATATCTAGAAAGCTGGTTTACACATCAATTATGTTAATTAAAATGAGAAATAATATTTTAAATAGAATAGGAGTGTAGCATAGTTGGTTAGAGTTCATTGTTATGGATTGGTGGCCATGTGTTTGAATCTTGCTTTGTGCATCATATATGTTTAATATTTTTATTATGTGAAAGTCTTATGTGTATTAATATTTAGGTTTAATTGCTTGTTTTGTCCCCAGTTTGGTTGAAGTGTATCAAGTTCGTCCACTCTTTTAAAAAAGTTACAAATTCGTTCACACGTGATTTAAAAGTGTCAATTGCATCCTAACATAGAAAAATTTGTATCAATGAAGTCCTCTCCGTTAAATATAGACTAACGGTGTTAACTGATTGATGATTCACGGTATAGGGTTTCCGGGAACAATATGCAAGGAGCGAAAACTGATAAAGACCCAGAAGGATAATCAGAATTGGGAAATTGGGAATCTTGCAAGTTGATATTGGGAATCGTGTAAGTTGAAACTGCAATTCCATGTCACCCAACATTTCATTCACATGTTATTACCAATATTGTCACTCTTTTGTCACGTTTCAATTTTGTACTGCCAAATATCAATCAGTTAACACCGTTAGTCTGTATTTAACGGAGAAGACTTCATTGATGCAAATTTCTCTACGTTAGGATGCAATTGACACTTTTAAACCACGTGTGGACGAACTTGCAACTTTTTTAAAAGAATGGACGAACTTGACACACTTCAACAAAACTGGGAACAAAACAAGCAATTAAACCTAATATTTATAATAATGAAATTAACAGTAGTTTAAGAAAAAATTAAAATAAAATATTATTATTTTGTTTGAAAAAAAATTAAAATAAAATATTATTATTTTGTTTGAAAAAAAATTAAAGTGCAATAGTAATTAATTATAGATCTTAAGTAAGGTGCATCATGATTATATTATATATATTTAGAAAAGAAAAAATATGGTAACTTATTCTTTTTTTGGTAATATATATATATATATATATATATATATTATTGGATTTAATTTATTTTCCGTTCATATCTGTTTATATATTTATATTCTATTTTTATATTTATATTCCATTTTTATATTGTTTTAAACATCTATATATATAAATTGTACTCTCTCCTTATCATTGAATAAAATATACATTTTTCATTCTTTCTTTTCTCATAGCATGGTATTAGAGGAAAATTAATTCTTGATCATGTTCTTCCACAACAAATTTTGTTACTGCCAAGATCTTTATCTTCTACCTTTCGTTCTTGGCTTTCCTACAATTTATTCTCTTTCTATGGCTCCTCCCTCTGTTACTTTCGCATCGTTATGTTTCATGTTTTGACTTTGCTTTCTAGGGTTTTCAATGAGACACAATTGGGTGATTTAATCACTCGTAGCCCTGGATTGATTTTTGAGGAATCTGGAGGAGTTTCCAAAGATTTGGGTTGTGAAATTTTGTCCAATTTGAGGTTGTGAAATTCAATGGCTTCTGCAGTTGTTCCTTCTTCTAATAATTCTCTGGCACAATCACATTCCTCAACTTTGGAACTTTCTCAAGAGAAAATTCATGGTCTATTGACACTTCTTCCTCAATCTAATCTCACAGTCACACATTGTACCGGTATAGTGAGTTCTCATAATGTTTGAAATTGGTTTTATCCAAATGAAGTGTATGATTTCTACCCACTTTGCATCTCTTTTTTTGAAACGCATGCATAGAGAAAGTAGGTGATGAGGATGATTGGGTCGAGAGCGTGAAGTGGAACTTTGGAGGGACCAAGAGTCATAAACACATGCCAAGGCATCTCAGGATTGAGGGAATAGACCATGATGCAAAATTAAAGGTTCCACCACCTTAGTAAAGACAAACCCAATATTTAAAATGTTTGAGCTTCCTTCCTTTGAATCATTTTTGAATGAAAGTGACCCGACCAATCTTTCTAAACTAATCCATCTCTCTGCAAAATCTTCCACCCACACTTCACTTACACTTTTAAGGTTTTAAGTAAACTGTTATCACAACCAAATGCTAAGAAAGATCCACATCGTATCCTATCGTGTAACATCTTTCAACCAAACATTACAGTGAGGAACAGAATCGTAAAGAGTAGGGAGAGAAGACTGGTCAAGATATGCTTCATTCCATTTCCACTCACAAAACTCTTTTAACTTTGTTTCCCATAAAAGGCTTGCCAATTCAACGATCACAATCAAAGGCCTCGCCATAACCTTCAACCATGAAGACCCTTCACCCTTTAGACTCAACACCACCAATTCACGCTTTTTCAGGAAGAAAAAGGGCACCAAAATCCTCGAACCCTTTTCTTCTAACTCGTCCAAAGTCAAAATTTTGTGGGATCTTTCAAACGCCAGGTACGAATCCGGTCCTGAACCCGTTCAAGGCTTTCACATTGTGATCATCATTGACTCAAAAATTACCCTGGTTCTCGATGACACCACGTGCTTCAACTTCGTGCTTCCAACGACACAAGGACCCACATCTCACCTCGTGCTTCAAATTCTTCCACGAACCCGAACATGCACCCTCGTGCTTCTAACCCGATGTTCTTCACTCATAAACCCTCGCGCTTCGAATCGAATCAAAGAAAATAACGCTTTATTTTTTTCTCACACGAACACGAACCCTAATAATACGGAGCCCCGATTTTTTTTTCCCAAATCTCATTTGCATTTCTGAATTGCAGGGGGCTGCACTTAAATATTTACATTTTCCCCACTTTACCCTTCCCTAAATCTGATTCAACATTTGTGCAATCCAAATTTTTAAACAAAATTCATTTTTAATGCCACGTGAGATTAATGAATACACTTTTAATGCCACGTAATCCAAACTTAAACGACCGTTTGTCCAATTTGACAACAGGCCTCTAATTGCTTCAATTTTACAAAAAAAAAAGACTTAATTGAAACACCGAAAAAAAGAGGAACCTATTTGAGATTCTGAACTAAAATAGGGACCTACCGAGACATTAAACCTTTTTTTATTTAAGAATGTAAGATTATGGTTTTAATATGAATTGGGTTGGTTATAGTAATATTATATATATTATTTATAATATAA